GACTTTTTTTCTTTGATTCTTTGATAAATACAAAGTTTAAAAGAACAGCATTTATTCAAAATAGAAATCTTTTCTAACAATATGAGTCTTTACGATAACTTTGTATCTATTTAACACAACCTTGCTGAACAAAAGTATGAATTTCTTTAAAAAAAATTTGAAAAAGAAAGAAAGAAATATGCACTGACTCCAAACTTATCTAGTAGTGTATATTGTAACACAAAAATTATATTTTAAATAAATAATAATAATAATAATAAACCTTTTTTATTTAGTTTAAAACCATTCAAAAGTTGGGGGGTAAGTTTTGGGGAAACAAAATAATGCTTTTATTGATCAAAAATGATGCTAAAGACATTTATAATGTTTATAATTAAAAAAAAATTCAATTCATGAGAGAATCCTGAAAAAAAAGTATTGCAAGCATATTAGTAGCAATAACCATTTTCAAGAATGATAACCTAGTACCAAAAACAATGGTAATAACTGAGCACCCAAATCAGCATATTATAAAGATTTCTGACGAAGACTGGAGAAATGGCTACTGAAAATTTAGTTTAGCTATAACAAGAATAAACTACATTTTAAAATGTATTAAAATAGAAAACTAGTAGTCATAATATTTCACAATATTACTGTTTTTGCAGTATTTTTTATCTAATTAATGCAGCTTTGGTGAGCATAAGAAATTTCTTTCAAAAACATAAAAAATCTTAATCATTCAGAACCATTGACCTGTAGTGTATACTTTTTTCCAAGTTTGTGTATATATATTTTTTCCACGTCACAGGTGAGGATAGTTGTTAGTAATGTGTTTGGGATGCAGTGCCCATGAGAAAAAGTTCAAATTGCAAGCTTCCAGGGGGTCCCACACTATTTGAGCAGTGCCTTTAAGATGAATGCTAACGGATACCTCTCTCCAGGTATTACAGGCCTAACAAGACTCACCAAAGAGAGTTTCCAAATAGCAATTTGTTTGCAAATGCAACATGTGTCTTAGCTCCATTACACTGTCACCCTTCTTACTAGGGTTTGCAAGACAGGGTGAAATACAGAGACTTTTCACCCAGCTGTGGTCCTCTCAAACTGTCTAACAGTGACAGGCTTGACAGTGTGCACCAATATAGAGCCTCTAGCTGCTCTGACTGAAGTGTAGGAGGGAAGAAGTCGTCTTTCATTTTCTTCAGGTCGTGGCAGTTCGCTGAGAGAGAACACATTGTTATACCCGCTTAAGGCCAATTATCCAAGCTCTTCCTCAAATGAATTTAACATTGTTTGAGAAGATCAGTGTGTTGTTGTCATCAGTGTGACAGAATTATTGCTGCATTGTTCCATGTTCATAATTATTTCTTTTTTTTTAACATCAGTTGAATCTCAAAGATTTTTGCCTTTTGATTGTAATGTGAATTTAACAATAAATTACTATTACTTGATCAGTGGCATGTCCAGACTAGTTTTACTCCAGGATACACTGGTAACACTTTAGTATAGCGACCAATTCTCACTATTAACTAGTTGCTTATTAGCATGCCTGTTATTGATGTATTGGCTGTTTATTAGTACATATAAAACACATATTCTGCATGACCATATTCCACATCCCTAATCGTACCCATACCTAAACTCAACAACGACCTTACTAACTATTAATAAGCAACAAATTAGGAGTTTATTGAGGCAAAAGTCATAGTTCATGGTTTATTAATGGCAAGAATAGGACCTTAAAATAAAGTGTGACTGATGCACTCATTCAACAAGGTCAAAAGCATAATCTGATTAATAATATGATTTTCTTACAACCAACATGTTATGCAGTTAATTTACAAAGATACTATCGACCTTTTTTTTTTTTTACGTAAGAGTGGACAACAATTTCAAACTTGAATGTGCAGGACATCTGTTGTCAGCCGGGTATTTTAAAAAAACAGTTTGTTATGTTGCTTCGTGTTGCATACTGGTATCATATTATTTTAATTTAAGATTAATTTACTGTACTGCTCTTTATGTATTCATAAACACATTGAATTGTAATGCAAATAGTTTTAGCTTTGTTATTCCTCCAGTTATTTACCTGTAGTGGTTAGCATCAACTATAGCAAAAAATAAGCTAATTTTATCACACAAGGTACAAGAGTTTGTTATTTGCTTCTCACAGTAAACTAATGCAATCAAACCAAAACTGGTTACTAGTAGATAACTGTATAAATAAGCTGCTCTGATGGCAAGAAGTTGCATCAGGGGCAACTTGATGCAAACTGCTAATTGTTGGCTAATCAGTTTGTGTTCTTATATTTTTATTTTAGATAGCGCTTTGATTAGCTGCCATTTCTTGAAGCTAATCCAAGTAGCTTTATCAGATTTTCTCGAAGGTCTCTTCTCTTGGGAAATAGTTCAAGTTGGACCACATGGTTAGGACCACCCATGTTATCGTGACCTGATGTTGTTATATAGTGATACAGAACTCTATGGCTATATGAGTCCAGTTGCCCTTGGTGTGTCGGCTTGAGCCAGACAGAGTGCTATTTTTTTGCTCTTTGATTTATTTGATGAAGTTGTCTTTTGCCTCACAACTCAATTGCCCAAGAGCTGCAGCCTCTCTGCCTGTTTAGAGCCGCAACCCAGCAGCTTGTAAATCAGAATTCGCAACTACCCTCTCATACTTGCGCACACTTACACTCTCTCACTCATCCGAAGAAGAGAAGCCCCCACGGGATAGGGAGTAGGACTGATTAAGACAGGCAAGAATTTGATTCCTGTTGCTTTATTCCTCTTGAGAGTGGCTGCAGGATATTAATCTGGCCAGTGTTGCTTATGAGGACTTGCTACAGGCTCTTGAGCACTTTATTGTGGAATTATGTTTTGTTCTCAATCACGCTACCTAAGTGCTTGAGGAAGTCTTTGCCGCAATTTGAACAAGCATCTGTGTCCTTTCATCATTTAATTTTTATTTTTCATTTTCAAGCATCCTGAGCCGTCTGTCTTTTCTGTTTTTAAACATAATGAAACGTGACAACGAGGTGCTTGTTATTGACATGCGAGTTCTCAGCAAAAATTATTTTCTTAATGAGTATTTTTGTTTTGTTTTCCATTAAAAAATGTAAACATCTTTACAACAAGGTAAGATTACTTGAGAAACAAGTAAAGATATTGAAGGCTTGTTTTCAAAGAATGTATTTTGAATTGCAAAAAAAAATTTCTGCATAAAACTTACTACATTTTCTAACGAAAAAATATTTTAGGAAGAAAATATTTGCATAATATCTTATGCAACTCAGTTTTTCTCGTCAAATAAATGTGTCTAGTTTTAAGGATGTTTTTGTATTATTACAAATGTACTCATTATGAAAGTAGTTTTTGCAGTTACAACAGATTCTCTGTCCAACCTAACTGAATTTTGAAATATAGATGGTTTTTATTATCGCATGGACTTGAGCATAATACCCCCATCTACAGCATTTTCCATTGCTACAGATTAAATATGCAGCTTTATGTTTCTATGGCAACTCTATTCTGTCCTCAGATAAAAGACCCATTATGATGTTTTGCAGAGGATTGGAGACAAAGTGAGTGTTTTTCTGAGATTTTTCTTGTTAAAGGCCTGACAGTCTTCACAGTGTCCTGCAGGTAGTGTCTTGACTTGACCTGTTCACAGCTGACCACAGACTCTAATGTGATATGGGCACATTGACACATCTTTCACATTGAAAGAGCACCAATTTGTCCCCACGTACTGTGAAAATACTCTGCTTCAGCCTACTTCCCACGTACCGCTGAGGGTTGACAATTTTTTGACGTAGCTCTCGTGTATACAGGTCGACAAGATTCAATTTCCTTGTACATAGATATACAAGATTCAATCTGAGGCCCCAAAATACTGTTTTCCGTTACAGCTGGATCTGTAGAGACCAAAAAGTATAGATGATATTGCCTAGAGAAACATTTCCACTCTGCCTGCGCTTTTACCTGACGTGCACATATGTATAGGTCATTGTGTGTTTATTTATATACATGTTTTAAGACTTTGTCTGAAACTCAAATAATTGTCAATCTACAAGTATCTCTTTACCTAAAAGCTGGTGTATTTTCTTTTACCTAATCTAGGATTCATTTATTGAATTAATAAAGTAAACTGCTGAATGAAGCCAGACAGAGTAATAATAATAAAGCATTGATTTTTGGCACAGCACTGCTGTCTGGAACTCATTTTATGTTGTATATAGTGATGATGTTTGTGCTGTGGTAGGCTTTTATAACTTTTTTGTTGTTGTTCAGTATGTAAATAGTCATTTATCATTTTTTGCTTCTAAGGCATTTTGATAATTGTTTTTTTTTTTCATATTTATGTATCCTTTTATTTACTTTACATTATCATCTTAACTGTGTTTGTTAGTTTACAACTTAAGACTTTGTCTGAAACTCAAATAATTGTCAATCTACAAGTATCTCTTTACCTAAAAGCTGGTGTATTTTCTTTTACCTAATCTAGGATTCATTTATTGAATTAATAAAGTAAACTGCTGAATGAAGCCAGACAGAGTAATAATAATAAAGCATTGATTTTTGGCACAGCACTGCTGTCTGGAACTCATTTTATGTTGTATATAGTGATGATGTTTGTGCTGTGGTAGGCTTTTATAACTTTTTTGTTGTTGTTCAGTATGTAAATAGTCATTTATCATTTTTTGCTTCTAAGGCATTTTGATAATTGTTTTTTTTTTCATATTTATGTATCCTTTTATTTACTTTACATTATCATCTTAACTGTGTTTGTTAGTTTACAACACATGATATATGTACTCTAAACAAATATAAATAACATAAAATTAAAATAAAGAGCTTGAGAGCTTGAGAGCTTCTCTCACATGATAATTTGCTTTGGTCAGGAGTTGGATAAAAGTGTGATGGAGTAATTTTGATTCTGCTTAAGTTCATTTCCCGTTTCTATTTCTGTGTTCTGTTGTCAACCATATGATAAATCTCCTCAAATCCTCTTGTTTTAGGGGCCATTTTTGATGAGTCTGCCAAAAAGGATGATGAGGTGTTCCGCATGGCGGTGGCAGATCTCAACCTCAACAACGAGATCCTGGAGACAGAGAAGATCACTGTGTCTGTGGAGTTTGTAGATGGAAACAACCCTTTCCAAGCAGTGCAGGAAGGTACGTCATTTGAGTATTTAAATATGTTTTCAGATCATACTCTTGCACCTTTCTGGACTCATCCCTTTTAAATGTAAGGCTCATATGAGAAGTAATAACAAAAAATGCCAATAATCTAATACAGTATGTGCCTCCTCAATTCAAGTTAAATTATAGTTAGAAGGGAACAAGACAAATTCAATGGCTGGATGGACAGAGGGATAGATGAATAGATCGGTGGGTGGATATCTACATTAAATTAAATAATCAGTGGATAGGTAGATTGGTTGACAGATTAGTGGTATGTAGAAAGATATGTACTGTAGGTTAGACAAATCAGTGAGTGGGTAGATAGGTTTGACTAGTTAGATAAATTGGTGGATGTGTTGATAGATAGGTAAGATAAACTAGAGGGTGAGTGAGTAGATAGATAGTAGACAGATAGTATTATTGACAGGTGGGTGAGTAGATAGATCGGTTAGAAATGCTGGTAGGTGAGTGGTTAGATAGGTGGGTGGGTAGATAGATAGGTTAGCTAAACTGGTGGATGAGTGGTTAGATAGGTGGGTGGGTAGATAGATATGTACTGTAGGGTTCATTGATCAATGGGAGGGTCCTGTAGGTTAGACAAATCAGTGAGTGGGTAGATAGGTTTGACTAGTTAGATAAATTGGTGGATGTGTAGATAGATAGGTAAGATAAACTAGAGGGTGAGTGAGTAGATAGATAGTAGACAGATGGTATTATTGACAGGTGGGTGAGTAGATAGATCGGTTAGAAATGCTGGTAGGTGAGTGGTTAGATAGGTGGGTGGGTAGATAGATATGTACTGTAGGGTTCATTGATCAATGGGAGGGTGGAACAACATCTAATGTAGTTTGGTAAGTGGGTAGATAGTTTAGACAGATCAGGTGGGTGGGTATCTAGATAGGTTAGAGAGGTGGGTAGATAGTATGGATAGGTGGGTGGGTAGATAGATATGTAAGATAAACTGGTGGGTGAGTGAGTAGATAAATAGTATAGATAGGCTGGTGGGTAGATAGATAGATTAGATAAATTGGCGGGTGAGTGGTTAGATAGGTGGGTAGGTAGATAGATATGTACTGTATGTTACATTGATCGATGGCTGGGTGGGTAGATAGATAGGTTGCATAGATAAATATCTACTGTAGGTTAGTCAGATGGGTGAGTGGGTAGATAGGCTAGACAGATCAGGTGGGTGGGTATCTAGATAGGTTAGATAAATTGGTGTATGGATAGATAGGTTAGATAAACTGGTGGGTAAGTAGATAGATAGTTTAGAGAGGTGGCTGAGTAGATAGATAGGTCAAATAGATTGGTGGGTAGATAGGATAGATTGGTGGGTGAGTAGATAGATATGTACTGTAGGTTACCTCAGTCGGTCGGTCGGTGAATGGGTAGAAAGATAGGTTACATAGATAGGTATGTACATTAGGTTAGATATATCAATGAGTTGGGTATATAGATAGGTTAGATGGGTGGGTGGATAGATACTGTACAGTACAGACAGTGACTGCAGTGCAACATATACAAAAATACATCATACACATGAACTGGTGGGTACTAAATGTTTTAAACAGAGCAAATGTAAAGCACTTGTTGAGACAAACAGTTGTAGGCAGAGGAGTCAAAGCAAGTCAATGTTTCATGCACACAGCGGAAGAATCGTGGAGTCTTATGGCAGTAGGCAGGAATGACCTTCAGTGGCACCCTCTCTTACACCGTTGACGGATCACACTGTTGCTGAATGCACTCTTCATTTCAGCAAACATGCCTTGGAGAGGGTGGGAGACATTGTTCATGATGTTCATTAAGTCGGACACCATTCTGCTCTGAGCCATTACCTCCAGAGAGTCAAATAATGTTTGCATAAGACAAAAGACATGAATAGCCCGCATTTGTTTACTTGCTCTTAAAAAATATACGTATTATGATGTAAATAGCTTGGTTAAACCTATGAAGGAGCTTAAAGGGTAAGTATGGCTAAATTAGGTGCCTCTTTTAATCATTAGAATAAAGTCTTGCCTCAGTCCTCCACTTTATATGCTCGCTCAGCCTAACGTTATGCAATTGTCTGGATCCAACACTTTCATAGCATTCAGAGGTCAGCATTATCGCACCCTCTAATATTTGATTTAAGATCAGTGGAATGATCTAATAATACCATGATGCTGTGGTTTCCACAAATTAGTGCTGTTAGCTCTTGGAGCAGGGCCATTTTCTGTTATCCTGCAAGAAAGGAGGACAGGTACAGGGCCTTTGGAACGCTGCCATTCATGCATCAGCAGGTTCACTGTGCTCCATACAATCGCAGAGTTCAGATAACTAGCACTTAATCTAACTTTGGCATTTGGCAACTTTGGTTTTTGCCAACTTGTTTCACTATATTTAACAATGGAGCAATAAGGGATAGAGCTGCTAAATTGTTTCAAACAGACCAGGAAGTAAACTCAGACAATGTGTGATACTTTACACAGGGGGGGAATCGCTAAGTAGGGATTATGGTGGTATGTTGTTTATTTGCATGCACTGTCTGCGTTGTTTTGGCACAAGATTCACTAAAGGATAGATAATAGCGCGAAAAAACAAAAAATTAGTGCTCAGTGCTATTTGTGTAGCACGGTTCTCCATCATACAGGTTGCTCCTAAGTACCAGGTTGTGGAGGATCTAAATAGCATCATTAAAATGTGCTCGACTACACCGTGCATGGATTTATGTCTCATCATGATCTTTATCTCCATTATTTGATCATCATTTTGATGAATTACTGCCGCCATGATCAACAGAAAATATGCACAAACACCTCTTTTCAATAAAAGTCTGTTTACCGGTTGCTTAGCAAGGCGGTAATAGCGCAACAATAATTGGACTAGGCAAATGGCACTGACTGAGGCATGTCTGTGCTGAGAAGAATGACAATGGCAGTATAAATAAAGGCTAGTTAAGTTGGACTGCAGGTGGTTAGTGTGTTAGTTGTAGGTTTATGAGCTGAATGTCGTACACTACAGAGATGCAGCTGTTTTGTAAGTGACTATTATTATCTGTCACATTTTGGTATTTTTTTTATTGGGCAAATCATCTCACATTTAATGATACAGGAATTTGATTTCAAAATTAGTACATAAAAAGTACGTGGCTGCTAGACTCATGCTCATTAGGTAACATCCCCTGTTTAGATATGTTAATGTAAACATGCATGACATTTTTCTGACTCTCATTTAATTGTCTGTGATACTGTTACATCGGTCGGCAAGCATCTCAGCTTTTTGTTCTCCTCCGCATCTGAGTGTGGATGAATTCAGCGGCGCCGTTATCCTTTTAGCCGCATGGTGTCTTAGAGGTGAAAGGGAGAGTGGGACATGTTGTAGTTGACCCCTGTTATCTAATGGAGAGGCCTGTATTAGCTAACTACACCCTCTGCTCTTGATGGTTCTTCTCACTCGCAGAAAGCGCTCCTCTTCTCCGTTTGTGTGCTTTGCCATTCTTTCTTTTGTTTACTGAAAGATTCTGAGTGAGGGAGCCTTCTTTTAGCCGCATGGTGTCTTAGAGGTGAAAGGGAGAGTGGGACATGTTGTAGTTGACCCCTGTTATCTAATGGAGAGGCCTGTATTAGCTAACTACACCCTCTGCTCTTGATGGTTCTTCTCCGTTTGTGTGCTTTGCCATTCTTTCTTTTGTTTACTGAAAGATTCTGAGTGAGGGAGCCTAATTACAGGTGCACATGTGTTATGGTTCAGCATGAGCGCAGACGATTCTGCTTCTTATGGATGTATGATTCTGGACCTTGTTATGTATACCTCATTTGTTTAAACATCTGTTTATCTTCTCAAAGTCTGCTTCCTGCTATGTGATTAGATGAAATGCATCCAGTAAACTTGTCTCTCATGTACAATCTGTTCTAGCTTGGAAGTTTTTAACAGGCCAAGAGATGAAAAAACAACTTTTGTCATAGAATAATCCCAATATTTGACAGATTTAATAGACATCTGTCTCATGTCTATTATTTATCATGTCTAATGCTCATAGTGCATCTGTTTTCTATAGCTCTTGATTAATAAATATAAATGAGGCAGAATTCTAAGAATTCACATTAGTGGAGATTAGCATTCACGCATGCTGCTACTTGCAGGGACTGTTGCAAAAGTTTGCAGCTTCTGGTGAATGCTATAGTACTGTAGGTGTTAGCAAAGTTGTGCAGAGTTTATGCAAATGAGCAGCAGCAACAAATGAGAGTGCAGTCAGAGGCCTACAATAGTAGCAAACAACAGCAGATTAAATTGGCAGCCGCAGACTGGTTTTAAGAAGTCCTGGTGGTGGTGTTACATTTTTTATTCAAAAATTTTTTTTTTTACATACACTGCCGTTCAAAAGTTTGGGATCAGTAAGAGTTGTAATGTTTTTTAATGGAATCTCTTGTACTCATCAAAGGCTGTATTTATTTGATCAAGAATACAGAAAAAAATGTAATATTGTGAGATATTATTTCAATTTCTAATATTTGTTTTCTGTTTTAATATACTTTAAGATATAATTTATTTCTGTGATCAAAGTTGAATTTTCAGCATCACTACTCCAGTCTTCAGTGCCGCTTTTTTTTTTTTAAAGAACAGCATTTATTTAAAATTAAAATCTTTTCTAATAATATGAGTCTTTACTATCTCTTGTTATCCATTTAACACATCCTTGGTGAATAAAAGTATTCATTACTTTCAAAAAAAGAAAAAAGAAATTACTGACCCCAAACTTTTAAACGGTAGTGTATATTGATTTCCTAACATGAAGCAGCACAACTGTTTCCAACATTGATAATAAATCATCATATTGGAATGATTTCTGAAGGATTATGTGGCACTGAAGACTGGAGTAGTGATGCTGAAAATTCAGATTTGCATCACAGGAATACATTATATTTTAAAGTATATTAAAATCAAAAAGAAACTGTTATTTTAAATTGCAATAATATAAAAAAAAAAAACTAAATAACTCAAAATAATTTGAT